CAGTGCTCTATAGTTGTGTCTGTCAATCAGCTGCTGTCAACTGTCCAAGTATTTCCAGATATACAGCTTTCTGCTCCTCTGTCCATCCATTCATCTCTGCCAGTAACTCAAACTGTGCTCTATATGCTTCCCACGGTGCCTTCTCATCGAATTCTTGTGGCTTCCTTCGTACTGGATCACTCCTATTACTGACATTCATATCTGAGATGTGACTTCTAACGGGACTGAATATGTCTGCATTAGGGTTTAGCTGCGGGCTCTGTAAGGGGCTTGCCATTGTCTGGGGCTGATTAAGTCGATGGTCAATGTATCCTCCTTGTGTAATACAAAAAGAACGATTTGTTGTAAAGTCAACAACAGTGGCAAGAAGTACAAATGGAAAACATCAGTAAATTTAAAAGCGAATTAGATACGTTAAAAGACTTGTATCGTTAAAATTTCGTCGGAACGAAGTTACGGAAAAATCAATTAACAAACGGAGACGTAACAAATTGGTGTCAGAAGTGGAACGAAAAAAAAATGGAAACGAGAGGCGGAAAATCAAACTACAGTTTAGCAGACTTGATGGCAGCAATAAAAAAACAAGAAAAGAAACAAGAAGAACGAGAAGAGAAACAAGAAGAGAGACAACGGCAGTTGCAAGAAAACCTACAACAATGGCAGCTCGAACAACAAAAGAAACAAGAAGAACGAGAAAAGAAATAAGAAGAACGAGAAGAGAAATTACAACAGTTGTTAGAGGAAAAAAAAGAAACACGAAGAGAGACAACAGCAGTTGAAAGAAAACCTGCAACAATGGCAGCTCGAACAACAAAATAAACAAGAAAAGAAACAAGAAGAACGAGAAATTAAACAAGAAGAGAAATTACGGCAGTTGTTAGAGGAAAAAGAAAAGAACCAGGAAGAGAGATTACAGCAGTTGTTAGAGAAAAAAAGAAAAGAAACAAGAAAACGAGAAAAGAAACAAGAAGAAAGATTACAGCAGTGGCAAGAAAACCTACAACAATGGCAGCTCGAACAGCAAAATAAACAAGAGAGATTACAACAGTTGTTGGAGGAAAAAGAAAAGAAACAAGAGGAGAAATTACAGCAGTGGTTGGAGGAAAAAGAAAAGAAACAAGAAGAACGAGAAAGGAAACAGGAAGAAAGTATCCAACAGTTGCAAGGAATAAACCAGTTTTATTAAGTTTCCGAATATAACTTTACCGATACACTCAACTTCAACAATCGCGCTAAACAAACGCTAATCAACGAACGTCAACAATACTTCTGACTGCAGTTCAATTACTCACTATCTACGCACACATTACATTCTCCTCTTTTATATACCAGCCTACCCTATATCTAGTAAGAACTAGAACATTCGCCAAAGTACATGATAGTTCTAGAAACGTTGCGTCACAGTAGTCATGTGACTCGATGACGCAACAATATATAAGCCGCCAAGAAGTGACGGCATCAAGGTAATGTAATGTGTAATTGACAGTTGAGTCGAGCACGTGAGACATTCGTTGTGAATTATAGCGTTTGTTGCAGCGCGACTGTGGAAATTAAGTGTATTGCAAAGTTGTATTCAGAAAGAATAAATCAGTTTTATTTAAGAAAGGACTTGTATCGTTAAAGTTTCATTGGAAAGAAATTATACGGGAGAGTAACTAACGGCCAGAGACGTAACAGTATTGATTTGGAATTACTTTGTACTAAAAGTTTGTATCGAGAAAGAATAAACTGGGTTAATCAAGAAAGGACTTGTATCGCTGAAGTTCCTCGGAAAGAATTTATACCGGAATATAACAAACAAGCAGATACGTAACAATATTATAATAAATAAACTAACATTTGAAGCATAACATATTATTTCAATCTCTTCTCTTGTTGGTGACCAATAGGTGTCACTTTTGTTCAATGTTGACAAGTATAGGAAAGTAACTAGAGGTACTACGCTTTGTGATTATGTAACGTTGTAAGTTGCATTCACAATATAAATTATAATGTATTTTAAATATTTTGCTACGATTTGTTCCAACCATTAATTTGATTAAGTATGGTATATAAGACTCGTAAAATTACATTTACAGTATATTTACTTTATCTAGAATTTTATTACAAATTTAAGAGTGTGATAGATCTACCGTACGAAGTGAACCCAATAATAATATTACTATTAATACTAATAATTTATTTAGCACAGCAGAGTGTTTATTAAAATTAATATTCCAAACAAAAGGCCAATTAACGAAACATCAGGCTAGCAACATTTTTTTTTTCACTTTTATTATTACTGGTTCTTTAATTACCAGACATTCTCCAGAATATAATACTATATTAAATACTATAATAGTTGTAGTGTTGATAAGCTGTTATTATTACCGGTGCCATTATCTATCTCAGTATCTGTTTGTTTGTTTTTGCTTGTTTTTAATGATGTATTTAATTTAGTAAGCTCTGTGAATATGTAAAGTATTTTAAGTACTATGAGTATGAGTATAGTTTTATTTAGTAAGTACTAAAGTAGTGTGAATATAAAGAGTCTGCACTGTTTCTACTATTCTAGTTGGTTAGGCTTGATAAGGAATTTATAACTGTTCAATTCTTGCTATTTATTAATGGAAAATTTCCACTCCAGGAGTAGACTCTTGATCGGTGATTCTCAACCAGTGGGCTGTAACTCAGTGTGAGATACAAATAAGGACTGCCATGGGTTGGGACAGCCCTAAACTAAGTCTAAAGAGTCATCAACTGCATATGTGGACCTTTATTACTTTACCTCAAGGTGCAGTAAAGTTCAGAAATCCTGCTTTAAATAACTTTCAGGCAGTTCTTTTCAGACTCAAGAGAGCTACTTTACATTCAAAGGGTAACAAACAACTGAGATGCCTTTCAATGATCAAATGAAATTGGCAGGCTTTACCTGTTGCTGACCTTTACAATCCCTATATTGCTGTATAAGCAGATTTAATGTAGAAGAGAGGTGATATTACTGAATTTTACAGAATTACTTAGAATGTAAATAGAACAAAAGCCTCTGATTTCTAATCCTAAAAACATTTGATAAGAGGAGACAAGTTGAAAATTGGGAAAAGACAAGCTAGGCTTTAGTTAAGAAAGTTTTATTTTACTATTTATAATTACTGGTGCTTATGACCAGCCACTTTGTCTTCTGTTATACACCAAAATGAATATATAATCATTGATTGGTTCTTATGACCGGCCACTTTGTCTTCTGTTATACACCAAAATAGATATATAATTGATTGGTTCTTATGACCGGCCACTTTGTCTTCTGTTATACACCGAAATAAATATATAATCATTGATTGGTTCTTATGACCGGCCACTTTGTCTTCTGTTATACTCCAAAATAAATATATAATCATTGATTGGTTCTTATGACCGGCCACTTTGTCTTCTTTTATACACCAAAATAAATATATAATCATTGATTGGTTCTTATGACCATCCACTTTGTTTCCTGTTATACACCAAAATAAATATATAATCATTGATTGGTTCTTATGACCGTCCACTTTGTCTCCTGTTATACACCAAAATAAATATATAATTGATTGGTTCTTATGACCGGCCACTTTGTCTTCTGTTATACACCGAAATAAATATATAATCATTGATTGGTTCTTATGACCGGCCACTTTGTCTTCTGTTATACACCAAAATAAATATATAATTGTTGGTACTTATGACCAACCACTTTGTCTTCTGTTATATTCCAAAATAAATATATAATCATTGATTGGTTCTTATGACTGGCCACTTTGTCTTCTGTTATGCACCAAAATAAATATATAATCATTAATTGGTACTTATGACTGGCCACTTTGTCTTCTGTCATACACCAAAATAAATATATAATCATTAATTGGTACTAATGACTGGCCACTTTGTCTTCTGTTATACACCACAATAAATATATAATCATTGATTGGTTCTTATGACCGGCCACTTTGTCTTCTGTTATACACCAAAATAAATATATAATTGTTGGTACTTATGACCAGCCACTTTGTCTTCTGTTATACTCCAAAATAAATATATAATCATTGATTCGTTCTTATGACCGGCCACTTTGTCTTCTGTTATACACCAAAATAAATATATAATCATTAATTGGTACTTATGACTGGCCACCTTGTCTTCTGTTATTCTCCAACATCTATATATAATCATTGATTGGTTCTTATGACAGGCCACTTTTTCTTCTGGTATACTCCAAAATAAAAATATAATTATTGATTGGTTCTAATGACTGGCCACTTTGTCTTCTGTTATACACCAAAATAAATATATAATTGTTGGTACTTATGACCAGCCACTTTGTCTTCTGTTATACTCCAAAATAAATATATAATCATTGATTCGTTCTTATGACCAGCAACTTTGTCTTCTGTTATACACCAAAATAAATATATAATTGCTGGTACTTATGACCAGCCACTTTGTCTTCTGTTATACTCCAAGATAAATATATAATCATTGATTGGTTCTTATGACCGGCCACTTTGTCTTCTGTTATACACCAAAATAAATATATAATTGTTGGTACTTATGACCAGCCACTTTGTTTTCTGTTATACTCCAAAATAAATATATTATCATTGATTGGTGCTAATCACCAGCCACTTTTACAGATGTATCCTCTATCAGAAAGTTCTGTTAAATAATATTAAACAGATGTTAAGAGTTATTAAGGGAAAAATACAATATAAAAAGAAAATGTAAATGTAAATACAGCTAATGTAAATCATACTATTTGTATCATAAGTATGGTAATATTTATAGTAGGAATTGACCAGATGTGCAATGCAATATAAAATCTCAAACAAACCACAAACAGCATGTAACCAAAAGTTATAAGCACTTTACACACACTGTTGCGTAGTTAACAAACCAACTGCAGTGTAACAAACCACCAAAATGCTTGAGAAACTCGGTAGAGTAAAAACATTTCACCAAACCACAAATTTGTCTATCTGACAGATTAACATTATTGGAAAAGTATAGCTCTCTCCTGCCTTCACCTTATGCAAATATGAATTATGCTACCTTTGTTAAAAGCATTTTTATTAGTTTTACTTATAACCTTGGTAATTGTAATAACCATTTTACAACACTGCTATGAAACAACAGTACGCTAGTAGCCACATTCTATGAATACAAGCATGATCTGCGAGTTGCCAGGTAACAACCTGCTTTCATATCACATGCAAGTGCATGACTGCTATGCACACGTGCTACATGATCAGTCTGCAGCTGTATCAACTACATAAATAAATGTTGACTACATAGATTATCCAGATTTAGGTTCTAACTATGATCTAACCTTTGAAAGCAAAATTTTCAGCTCTGTACATCTAACTTGAGGGTTCTGTGTTGGACAAAGCAGTTACAGCATTGCAGTCAGTGTTCAATACGTGAGGACAAATGCTACAACTGCCAAGTCTGTCATGGCTTTGCTCAAATGCTCTGGACTGAAAACAAGAACAATAAATTGTATAATTTACCTTTGCATTGTTTTCAAATTGTGACCTATTGAAATTTAAGATTGTAGTTGAAACAGTGCAATTTTTAATATATGCCTTTGAAGGAAACAAAAGGAGAAAATCTTATGTTGATAACATTGAAAATTGTTTGTCCCAGTGAAGAGAGCATTATTGCAAGAATAGAGATAAGGTTAGAAACAGTAATGCTGAATGTACGAAACAAGCTTTAGCCATTAATCCACCCAAAGAAATGACTGTACCCTGGCTAGATGGAAGAAAAACTATAGCAAAGATGTCAGCAAAAAGCCAGGAAATGTTGAGAAATAGCTCTAAGAAAAACTATAAGAAAGATAGGCCTAGAGCCCAGTTACTCTTGAGACTTAGTATAAAAAAAGCTACGAGACAAGTGTAAAACAATTTAAATAAAAAAATTAAGAAGTAGGAATGGGAGCACCAAAAATTAAGGAAACAAGGTAGGAGTGGGCAGGATAACATTACAGTAGTTGATAGTTTTTGGCATTGTGCAACCTGAGTGAGTGTGGCCGTCATTTTGCCCATCCTTACTTCATGTTTGACTTTAAATTTTTATGCAATTATAGACATGAATTGAGTATTATTAGTAGCTAATCCTTTTTTATTCAACAAATTCAAAAATCAATGGTTTTTATACTATTCTTTTGGCCCACCCCTTACCATTCAGATAGCTATAATATCTCCTGTAAGCAAAGTATGACTATTGGAGCTTCTTGTTTCACTTTCAACATCAACTCTTATGATGTCATGCATTTTGTTAAGGTCACATAATTTGATTACATGCATGTATCTGTACTTGGTTGGTTGCTTAAACAAAGTTTACAACAGATAAATTTAGCTATATACACCTTTCACTTAGTTTGAACAATTATCAAGTTACAAAAAGTACACAAAGTAGAAATTGGTTAAATAATGGCCACACCCACTTTGAGATTTCACTATGTCAAAGGCCACCTAGTGCTATAATGTTAACCTGCCCATTCCTATCTTGTTTTCTTACTTTTTGTTACTATCAAATTTTTTACACTTATAAAATAATTTAAAATACATTATGAAGAAATGAAAGGGTAGGATTCTGATCCACCACATCAGCTGGTGATGAGACAGCATGTGCCAATCAGAAATGAGATAATTAGCATGCCTTAAGTCCATAAATGCATGACACTATACTGAGCAATTATGGTAATTAATGCTCATAGTGTTGTGCTGTATTAATTAAATCCAAACGTTGAAGTAAGATATATTTTACTATTAAGTTGTGTTCTTTCTCTTTATTTCAAATTGATTAGCAGAATTTTAGCAAAAAATTAATGAACAATTTAAATCTACGATATTAGTTTTAATCTATTTTGATGAAATGAGAAGGTAATTTCTTAATTTTCTTGGTCAACTACTGAACAAGAACAACACTTATTCAAGTTTTTATTGATCATAATATTCAAATAAATATCACCTTATTTGAATCTTAGTTCTGATATTTGAAGATAGGTTTTGTGATTTATTTAAATGGTAACACTTGAGGTTTCTTCAACCCAGACATTTGTTGTTTTTTTATTACTTGATGCCAGAAGTTATTTATCACAAGAATATATTTTTATAAGTTCTTGGTTCATCTGAGTTTAGAATTTATTATATTTAATGGAAATTAGATGACTGACAATAAAGTTCCAAAAACTGTGTAATGTTGCATGTGGACCATAAGAGATTGTAATTATTGAGAAGAACATTTGAGAAGGTTATTGGTTTAATTATATATGGAAGTTAGTATATAGCTGTGTGCTCTAAGATTTTGTTGTAATAAACCTGTTAATCTAAATTAGCTTAATATCTTTTGTAAGGTTTATTGAATCTCTGTGACTGTGTCATCATGATGATAAGTATGTATATGGTAATTAGTTATTGATACAAATGGAATTAAATGAAATTAATTGATTTAATCATCATTTTGATTAATTGATTATTTTATATTGTGGCTGGGAAATATACGTCCCATCCACAGTGAAAGGGTTAATGCTTATAGGTAAATAGTTAATTGCCCAACTCAACTTTCTTTGACAATTGTAATAACGGAGTTTCTGAACATGAAAATAACACTGCTCATAAGGATGCAATGTTTTTATGTCTTATACTTGATGAAATCAGGGGTCATTATCATAAACTTCTGTAGCCTACATAGATCAGAAATTAAAATTAACCCAGTAATTAATATAGCTAATTTAATATACTATTCTTTCTAGGTAAA